AAGATGTTTTTAACTTCAAGCAACTAGATTATGATACAGAAGCGTAAACTGTTAACGTGAGAAACAAAATTGAGGTGGTGTCCTTCCTCCGTTCCAACTGAAATACAGAAAAGGAAACAACCAAAGCTAAATACGTCAAGAGTCCCATTCGAAAAGAATAAACAGTAATAAGTGTCACTCCCCGGGCCCGCGGGCCTGTTGGCGTGTGTAAGCCGTGAGATCCACCAAGTATAACGTGCTATTTGGCTCAAACCACTGTCAAAATCGACTAGCCGATGTTACACTTGAGTTTTTAGCTTTACTATATAAACCACTTATTTTTCTATAATCCCACCGATGTGGGACTAAATTTTGAGTCGGTGAGATGCTACAATAAGTATCAACAATAAGGAAGTCCATAGCACTTGCTACTTAAGAAATAGAGCATACAAATATTCGCAAGCACACTTTCCTACTTCCTCATTTTCCATTTTATTTTAGCAAACCAACACCAAAAGAGAGAAAAAAAAACTAGATGTTGACACCTGTTTTCCCATTATGACTCAAATTTCAAATATCCTCTAACAGGCTTTTTTCGCTTTAACGGCCTACTTAAAAATAACCCTAAGCAGAATATGACTAGCAGTTTGAGTCTAAAACAGAATGGGTGGTTGCGTAAGCTGTGTGTAACAATCAATTATCAAGTTACACAAGTTTTCTTTAAGGGGCTGTTTGGTTGGTTTCCCTGATTATAGGAAACTTATTTCTAAGCATAGATATTGCTTTTCATATGCTTTTAAAGGTTTCTTAAAATTTGTTTGGTTCATCACAAAATTGGGTTGGAAATAGATCCCCTCACATCTCCATTGTTTGTTTCACAACTAAAAAGAAGGAAACTAAGAATAGGAAACCTCACTTACCCATCACTAGAACAGGAAAAATAATAATTATTTAATCCTTTTTCATCCCATTTCCGAACTCAAAGCTCGGAAATGAGCATTTCCTTAAAAGGGGCTGTTTGTTTGTCTAAAAAAAGAAGAAAATCAAAGAATAAGAAACCTATTTCTTAGAAATTTTATTTTGAGGTTGTTTGGTTGGGAAAAAAAAAGAAGAAAATTAAAGAATAGGAGATGGGATGAGATGAGTTGTCGTCATATTATTGGATGATGTGAGTGATTTTTTAAGAAAACTTATTTTGAAGTTGTTTGGTTGGCTAAAAAAAATAAGAAAATGTATTATAAGAAACCTATTTCCTATAATAGGTTCTTTTCTTGTGTTTGGTTCATTCTTAAAAATAAGAAAATAGATGAGATGAGATGAGTTGTCATTATATTATTGGATGATGTGACCCACACTTAAGGAAATCAATTTCCTTGTTTTTTTGGAGGAAATGGGTGGAGATGGAAGTTTAAGGAGATGAGATGAGTTGTCACCATATTATTGGATGATGTGATTGATTTTTAAATATGAGATGGGATGAGATGAGATGAGTTGGATGATGTGATGATAAAAATAATATTTTATTAGATGTTGGATGATAAAATTAATATTTTATTGGATGAGTTGGATGATAAAATAATATGTTATTAGATGAGTTGGATGATAAAATAATATTTTATTGAATGTTGGGGTAAGTTTTAGGGATGGAAATGGTTGAAAATAGAAAATGGGAGATTTCTATGCTCCTATTTCCTATTCTTGGTTTTTAGGAAACCAACCAAACAGCCCCAAATCTGAGTTAGCGGGTGATTTCTCCAACTCATTTGCTTAAATCTTGTGTTGAACCAAACTGAGGAATAGAAGATCTTCTTGAACTTAATTTCCCACTGTCATATTGTCAGTATAGGAAACCTATTTCTCTTCATCATTTTTGCCAAACAAACAGCCCCTAAGTAGAATAAGACTAGGCACAAAAAAAAGGCTTACTTCCCTCACAAAATTTTCACATTATTAGCAAACAAACTCTCCCTGCGGAACAAATTAATCCATATGAAGAGGTAATAGACACTTCGGTACAATTATTCCAAGACATATACATAAATGGACGATTTACATACCTAACCACACACTAGAGCTTGGTACTGAACAATATCAAACGCATTTACGGGCACCTCCCACAAGATGTTGTCCTCGTCATGGTAGCAGATCGAACTAAATTATATGAATAAAGTATACCTTCCTCCCTTCAACAATGTTAGGGTCCGTTTGGATGCAAAAATTAGAGGGGGAAAGTCCGTCAGAACTTTTGCAGGCTTTCTTGCAAAATCATCCCATATTAAGACAATTTTGAAAGAAAGCCTGCAAAAGATCTGATTTTTTCAGAACTTTTGTAGGCTCTCTCTACCTTTTCACTCCTCCATGTTTTCCTCTTCCCCTCAACCCTACTTCTGTACAAGAGTTTGTTGTGAATTCCCCCCTAGTTAGTATGTATTTGTAGTTTAATTTGATTCTTGCCCTTAATTTGTGTCAATTTCGCTGCCCTAATCTTTTATTTTTCGTTTGGGGGTGGTGGGGGGTTTGGTGGTTTTGATGTCAGCAGCTTGTTGTGTTTGTTTGTTCTTGTTGGGGCTTGTTTGATTTGTATGCCTTCGGGTTGCTTCGTATACGAAGAAATTAATTGGGTTCTTTTAATTTTCGTTTAATTCGAATCTTGGTTCGTGAAAAATTGTTGCTTACCCCTTGGATTTTTTTTGATTTGGTCTAGCTCTAGAGGCTAAATCATGGGCGATTTAGAAGAGATACTGGAAAATTGAAATGAAATTAGGGATGTGATTCACATGGAGATTTTTTTTTATTCGTTGGTACTTGGTACAGCTCTAAAAAGTTTTACGGTCCTAGATTTTGGCATCCGTTGTTGGCGACGGCGATAAGGACGGTGGCCTCTGGCGGTTGCCGGCAATAATGGTTGGTCGGTGGTTCAACCTTGGTGGTAGGTCAGTTGCATATGTGAAACTAATGTTCGGCCAGAAACTCACAATAGTGTTTTTGAACTGATAGAGTGGACAAGTTGATTCGGCACGCATAGGAGTCGGGAGGACTCTTGAGTTTGAGATGGAGATGTAGCTTATATGTTTTGAGTTGGTGGACGGACATCTAACTATTTCTTCCTAGGTAGGCGCTACAGGTATACCCTCGGACACACCTCCGGTCACAACCCCCTTCTAGCTACAGCGCAGTGGGCCCCATTTGAGATTTTTTTAAAAAAATCTCAAGTGAGGCCCACTGCACCGTAGCGAGAGGGGGTGGGTTTGGCCGGAGGTATGCCCGAGGATGTGCCTGTATCATTTTTCTTCTTCCTAACGAGCTGTGGCTTTTTCTTATTGTTTTCTTGCATGTTAAATTTTTTTTTGCCACAGATTAGCTTCGGCTCCCTGTACTTTTTTTGAGTGCTTTCGTTAAACTCTTATTTAAAGGAATGTGGGGGTAGTTATCTACCATTTAACTCAAAAGATTGGGTTTTTCTTAGATATTGGTCCCTTAAATCTTCCATAATCTTGAGATTATTCCTTTGATCATTGAAATTGCTAGTAGCTCGCTTAAATCATACAGGTTCTTGCTTTTTAATGCCTTCCATTACTTGCTCGGTGGAATATGTAAATCACGGTTGGATTAGTTCTTAACGCAACACTACCAAGTACTACCCCAGTCAAAGTCTGTTGAGGAATGAGGATTATATAGTTTCTCTACCCATTTTCCTCGGTTGGTGATCGTTTCTGATGATCCCCAACACTCGTGCATCTCATCAATCGCATCCCTGAACCTGAACCTCGTCCTTAATCGGCGTTACGGCGTTCCCCACATTCCCAGTACAATGTCGCCGCCTCTGGGGAAACGGCGCTTCCCATTCGCAATATGCACACGCTTCATTAATTTTGGACTCCCCTCGCTGTCATGAAACTGCGTCCATAAATACCACTACACCCCTCAAAACCTCAAACTCACCCTAGCATTACATACTAGCTAGCTAATTGCATAGACATCGGAGGTGGCAAGGGTGGCAGAGGAGGCAGTGGCAAAGGGGGTGCCGGAGGAAGAAAGGGAGGTGGTGGAGGAGGAAAGGGTGGTGGCTCATGGCGGTGGTGGAGGAGGAGGAAAATCTGTCGGAGGTGGTAAATCCGGGTGCGGTGAGGGCATGATGCAGCCTGCAGGCACCGGGAGGTAAAGGGTGCATATCAAGGTCCGTACTTCCATGGTCTTCACCATGGAGGTGAAAAATGAGTGGCGTGTTCTGCTTTTAGCTAGTTTGCTTTTATGTGTGCATGTGCACGTGTGTATGTATGCATATGTACCTGTGATAAGTGCCTGAAGGGAGTGTAATAGAGGGGTCTATGTAAGAGAAAATATTGTAGTGTATTAGAGTGATGTAAGTGATAAATGCCTGAAGGGAGTGTGTTGGAGTGATCTATGTAAGAGAAAATATTGTAGCGTGTGTCAGTGTGTTGAATTTTGATAGCTAGTTCTGATTTGATGGTACTTCTGAGATTTGTTTAGAACTCATCTCAAGAAGTATAAGATGTGTGTTAAGTGTGTTGAATTTTGATAGCTAGTTTTGATTTGATGGTACTTCGGAGATTTGTTTAGAACTCATCTCAAGAAGTATATGATCGTAAATAGCCGTAATCCTGAACACAAATTATGAATTTAAGTTAAACACAGCACCTAAACCTTGTCTAAACCTGAAATTTTATGTTAGCGTGATTGAATTTTGATTGCTAGTTTTGTTTTGATGGTGCTAAAAAACCTAAACTTTGTCTAAACCTGAAAATTCATCTATTCTGTAAAATATTTGGACTGTTGAAATGTAGTCACAGTAGTATTTTCAGAGATCTCATGCTAAGAATCTGATGCTATGATAACAATTGAGGTAGAAACTATAAATGAACAATGTTAGGATGAACCTTTTATACTCACATTTCCTAACTAATATATGATCTACAATTTGAAAAACTAAAAACCAGACAAGGGAAATCCAATGTGTAGGATATCAAATTGCATCTAATTTTACCTATATATGGATCTCTGAGATCTTAGGTCTGTTGAGATGCAATAATCCTTTGGAATTATAAGATACACAACCACCAACCCACTTCATCTTACTAATATTCACATGTTATAAGAAACAAATATTGATACATAACCACTTCATCTCTGTATATCCTTTGAAGAGAGAGTGGCATCATTGACTTGAATCTACCTATATATGTCCATCAATACATTCCTCTATACTACAGCATCTTCTCTTCTTCCTTCTCTGATCACCACCGATAAATATTTGGTGGCCATAAAGATTCAACCGATGCCCAACCAAGCTCAACTCACTAGCAAACGCGAACAACATGAGGTTGAGATTGATAAATTGAGACAGAGCTCAAGCTCTCTTCATCAGGTAGTGAGACAGAGCTCAAGCTCTCTTCATCAGGTACAGCTACATTGCGTGCCCCCTAAATAAGTGATTGATATATGGTTTTAAGAGAAAATATAAAAGTAGGAAATGATAAACAAAAATTTATAATATGGTACGTGCAGTTGGCGTCGTCGTTGAAATATGCATAGAACTCTTGCCAAGACTACAATGGGTATTAGTATTCCCCCAACTCTTAACACAAGGAGCTGAGATTCAATAAATATAAAGGGGTGAGAATTATATTCATATTTTTGGTGGAAAAAAAAAACAAATGAAATAACCAGAAAATTGTCAAAGAACTGTAAGATGTTCTCACAGAGAAGGGTGCCGTAAATTCGTCCTCAACCTCACCAACCATGAGGGGAAGAAAATGCCGAAGAATGAAGAGAGTCATGAACTGAAAACAAAGATAGAAATTTTTTGCTCAGAATGCTAAAAACATAATAACAGATAAAATTTTGATGTTAGTGTAAAGAGACTTACAATTATAGCCACTGACCGGTAGTATAATGTGCTTCGAGAAGGATAGCAATTGTAATCAGGGTCCATGAAACCTCTGTCAGAGGGAACCATTGTTATGATCTGTGAATCATGGAGATCCCTACTTGATACCTCCCACCTTCCCCTAATAAACATATTACCAACAACAGTGAATTTTCCATATGGCGTAAAGATTATGGGATACAATCATACAACAGTCACATAACAAGGAGGAAGGAGGAGAACAAAGAAATACAATATGAAGAAGCAAGAAGAAAACCAGAAGGAGAGAAAACTACATTGTTTCCTGAACCAAGGTGTCATGTTGCTGTGAGTCAGTTGTCTATTATGATGGAAGACACGGTTCACATACCAATAGGAAGATGATCGTACAATAAGGCGACACAATTTTTTTTTGCATCAATGTTTTCATTCAGAAGAACTCTCTCCTTCTGTTTGATTTCAGATGTAAAAATACCAGACAAGAATGATACAATCTGATGATTAAAGAGATTTAGCAAGATGTTTTAATGACAAGGGTTTAATGTGCTGCAGTAAATTACAGGACAAATTGGAGCACTAGTGGGTGAGCTACAATCCTAAATATGCATTATCATGTCACAATTATGATTTTCCAAGAGAAAATTAAAGCTCCAAACACTTGTATATGTAAACACTACTACTAATCCTTAGTAGATAACTAATTGCTACATTAGAGTAAGACATAACAAGCATATACAAGCCAGTAATTATATAGATGTGTGGTAGCTGTGAAATTGTTTACCTGCCACCTGCCACAGCTCATTTTGCAAAGAATATACGTCCTACCCACTAAAAACTCAATCCCAGTGTCTTAGCGGCACTAGTTTGACTGCACAACGTCGGCACTGGGCGGGGGGGGGGGCCGCCTTTGTGTTTGTGGAGTGAGCTCATTCCCCATTGCCCCCTCCCCGTACACACACACAACACCCACAGCCACACACACACACACCAACACACCACACATATATATAGACCTATACTAAGCGTACCCTCACTCACTAATATATACTCAGGTACTAGTACTTACATACCTCTTCTCTTTCCACTACTCACGCGCTTTTGATAACTACCTGACCTGTATACTTTATACATACCCGCCGTGCAGAAATATGGGATATCTTCGGTCAATGCACAAAATTGCGCACAGAATCTTCTGCTGCTTCGCATCACGCCTCGAAGGTGGCACAATCCCATTTTTTCTTCCGTCCTCCACTCATTCAATCATAGGCGCGAACGCACTATTCACGATGAGTTCGAGCGTAGTGCATGGAGGATATGCCAGACCATTTGAATGAGCTGGAGGGCCTGATCTAAATGCCCAACCCTCAAACATCTACCAACCGCATAATTTTTGTGCTTGGTACCAATACATAACAATTTCCCTGTCTTCTCCTCTAATATTATACGACTATACTATACCCCTACTTCAATATCATATATGATACCTATCATACTATCATACCTGTGATACTTATATATTTGAGAGAGAGAGAGAGAGATGGAAGATTATGGTCAACATTAAGTGACCATCCACCAAAAAAAAAGTTTCTATCCCTATTGTAAAAAATCTCTTCCATATGATGGCAATGGATTTATAGGTTATCATCAACTGGGAAGAAACTTTGGTGGATAGATCCGCACTTAAGTTGACAATAAGTTTATCTCTCTCCTCTCTCCCTGCCTCTCTCGTACTAAATATTATATATATACTATATATATACCTATATATTATATCATGTATATATAGTATATATACGTAATATATATATATAGTATATTATTGAGGTTGGGTAATATCCTTGTCATAAGGAGCCGAGAATTCCTCTTAACGCCTAAATGTGGCAATAACTCCACCAATCTCTCATAAAGTAGAGAGAGACTTTAGAGGATGTGCATTAATGCACATAGCGCGACAAAGAGGTTAAATTCTCCCTAATGACAGGATATCCCATTAACTCATATATATATTTTATACTTCATAGTAAATCATATATTATATAATAAGTATATATTATTTATATTTATATTTATATTTATAACTATATTTTATACCTGTAGTGATGTCGAGGAATATTTGGGTTAGTTACTTTGGGCCAAGAATCTCTTTGGTAATAGTTGAAGTGTGGAGCATCATCGGTTTTTTTTTTTTTTTTTTTCTGTCCATACATCACACCTTGGAGTTGGTGCGGTTGAGGCTCCATGTTCAATTGTGTGTTATGTAGGACAAGATGCGTCCAACATCACTAACAAGATTCCTTGGCCAAGTATTACCCATATTTCCTCCTATTATTATACTTTTATATCATAATAGATATACTAATATCATATTAAAAATCACTATATATATAATATATACTAATATACTAAGGTTATATATATCTATTATATATTATTACTAATATATTATATATCATTACTATGTTGTTTTTGTAAGTAGATAGATCATTGAGTATGAATGCTTGGTACCAATGCACAAATTTTTATGCTTGGTAGTCTTTGAGGTGTACTGATTTCTCGATCCACGTCTCATTCCAATTTTCACCCCACTCTCCAACTCCATGTGAATATGGGTCTCAATTTCAATGGTGGAGGGAATATGTCACCGTTAACTAGCAAGCAACAAAAACTTGTGTTAGTACGCCAAAACATACTCCATTTCTCTCTCTCCTATATATGTGTGTGTGTATTCATCTATAAATAATGGGAGATCCAAGAATTCACCTAAAAAATTCATACTGGCAGTAAAAATGTCTAAACAAATTACTGTAGGCACAGACAGATAGGATCCAATAAAAATTCGCTATTCATGCTACAATAAATTACTGTAGCACATGCGGGAATTGTAAGCGTTTAAAAAACATTACTATAGCTTCCAGGCGAGATAGATGTAGTATTAAAAAAAAATGTTACTGTAGCATTTACAGAAACTGTATTTAATACAGAATTACTGTAGCAGAAAGAAAAAAAATGAAGGCCGTGCTTTGCAACGGGGTATCATATATAACTATATATATAGTTATAACTATATTATATCTTACACACACATACATATGTATCTACAATATATATAGTAATAATAAACTGTATATCGTTACATACTACTATACTATGTACCATAATAATACATACGTAAATTAATATATATATAATGAGCTAGAATAGTAGGTATATATAATATATATATATATAGTATATACAGTATATGTATTATTATTATATATATACCCAGTAACCCATATACCATAATATATACTATAAGGTATACATGAGAATATCGGGTATGCTTGTACCCAAGCACAAAATTTTGTGCCTTTGGTAGTGAGTGACACCAATCCTCTCCAAAACTCCAGTTTCAAATAGGACCACCATTACATTGTGTTGAGGAGTGGCATGAGGATATGAAACCATTTGAATGAAGTGCGGATGATTATGCCCCAACATCACTACCAACCAGCACAAACCTCACACTTCGTGGCTTGGTACCAAGCTGACCCGCATCTTCTCTCCTCTCTCTCTATATAATATACCGTATGTTGTGTGTGTTGTGTGTATGTACTATGCATATGCATATGTATAATATCTATAAGGGTGAAAAATAATAATGTATGATACAATGGCCTATATACAACTGAGCCCGTATATACACACGAAGAGACTTTAAAGATGAAGAGCAAGTACCTGAAATTCATTGGAATGGCCGCCATAGTGAAAACTGAGGAGGAGATCAAGTATAATCCTGGTTTGATTGCTGGGAAGTCACCAAAAATTCATAACGAAGCTTGAAATTAGGTATCCACGCTTCATTTTTAAAATTAAAAAACTGAAGAAACAATAATCTATTTGTATTGAGACTTGTTGGTATATCCAGGTTATCTACTCCCCAGATCTTGGCTGTGTTATTTTCTGTAATGTGGGATGATGAGATATTTATGGTGAGCTGTTATCATTCCATTAGTATCCATCTTGTATAACATACTTACAAATGTTTCTGTAACGCTACCACCAGATTGTTGACTCTCCCTAGATAGATGTACATTTGTGATGTGTGAAAACAATGTTAATTTGCATCCTGTGTGGTGCATGGCAGGTTTGCATTCTGGTTTCGCCTTAACCGACTGCAGCCTTGGTGAACCCAGGGCGTCACAGCAGAAGGATGTTCCTTTACGATGCACTCAGCGATGTTCAACACGATTGTTGTCACTATCTCAGTCGACATCAAGTTGAATGACGAAGTGCAGACCCTATTGATCTATCGCGTCCGGATAGTTAGGCAGGTTGCGTGACCCGCCATGCAGCAACTCGTAGGAAGGAGAAGTTGAAGCGAAGGAAGGTTGGTAGCTATGATTCTACCTGCGAGGATGTTAGATAGAAAATGCGAAATGAATCAGAAGGTTCAGGTTCAGCCTAAAAAAGTCTCGAGCAGAGAGGCAGAAGCCATAATAGGCGGGGAATCAAAAAACAGGGAAGTCGAATGACAGCTCGAAAAAAAGAAGAAGTTCCGAACTCCGAAGGTGAGAAAACCTAATCAAGGCATAATGTTGGAATTGCGGCCAGGGAGCCAACATGTCTCTACTGTAAACGCACGAAGAAAAATGACAGCGCAAAAGACTCAATCATTGTGCAAGATGCGCTGACTTCTCGCTATTGGACGTAGCGATTCCGATTCATGGGTTATTGATTCGTGAGCCTCATTCCCAGCCACCTGCTAATAGAAAGCAATTTCAGAAACTATGTATGCAGGGAAGCTTTTGAAAGGTAATACATTAGGGATAATGAACCCTGATGGTGTAATTGGGAAGAGCGATGTGGCAAATACCATTTGAAAGGGCTCTAAGTGTCTCTGAAGAAATTCAGACACGTAAGCCGAAGTTGAGCAGGAAACCTTATTCTCGGTTGATCAGCTTGGAGCAGAAAAGGCTATGTTACAAATTCACTGAGATTTATGGAAAAATCTCTAAAAAAACGGTACACCCATATCGGTTTGCCCTGGCAAACTAGACCGGTACGCCTCTTTTACCGGTAACTTCACATGCATGATACCTCGTGATTGCTGCAGGCAATGAGAGTTGGCCGATCTGTGCACAATGAGGCCTTGGACACATG